CTCTTAGTAAAATTTCTTTTAAAGAATAATACGTTTTATTCTTAATTTTTCATTTTTTCAATTAATTATACATATTTTCTTATTTTTTTATTTTATTTTTCTCTTTTAATCTATATTTTTAAAATTCTACAAAAATAAATATACACATATTCCTTTGTAATACTAATTTTTTATTAAATATATTTTTAATTTACATTTTTAAATTTAATTTTAACTATGTAACAAAATTCCTAATAAATAATTTTAGGGAATATATTCTCTTATAGTTATACATATTATGGCTGACTAGTTACAGCTTAGAAATATATATTTTTCCTGGTCTTGTCACAACCCAGTAATGGAAACCACAAGAACGTAAGAGAAACTAGTATTATAAGCCCACAAGCGGCCCATGCTCATAATCTTGTTGGCATAATTCCTATCTCTAAATAGGGAGATTATTTATTGTAAATCGAGATCACTATTTTTTAGGTGGTACTTTAATGTAAATATGATCATAAAATTAAAAAAAAAATAACAGAAATAAAACGAAAAAAAAATTAATATTGTAAAAGAAAATATTAAAAGATTTAGTGGTCCTGCAGCATATAAAATATTTCCCTAAGCAGAACCACTAATTAATGCTACAAGATCTAATAAATCTCAAGATTCTCCTAGTTGATGACGTTTCTCCTTTTTATATTTGTAATCAGATAACTAGTATCAGATAGCGGGATTTATTGGAGGGATGTATTGTATGTATGGCTGTTAATTGGCTGAATGTGAGGTTATCCAATATTAGCATTGATGGATATTAAATCTTAACCCAAAATGGTAGGGGTGTTTGGTAGGAGAGTTTTTTTTGGGTGCTTAAGAAAGTTGTGATGAATTTTTTAGTTGACTATATTTGATAGGAGATTTTAAAAAATTTGCCATAATTTGAATTTGCACAGCACTCTTAGTTTGTGTGTAAAATTGAAAAATTTGCCATTTCAGAATTATTATTCCATTAAACCAAAAAGTAGAAAAAAATAATGGATACAAATGTCCCTTCTCAAAAAATGTGTCAAAAAAAAACTAGAGAGAGAATCTTCTTTGTAGTTAGTCAATGGTTAGTTGGTAATTTTATCATGTTTTTCCATCAATATTTTACCTTCAACCAAACATAAATTTAGAAAATTTAACCCAATTTTTTCAGTAATATTTTAACCTACCAAACAACTTTTTTTTAGCTTTCTTATCAATCTCATTTTTCTAACATATTCTTAGTAATTATATTTACATGATAAAAAAAAAATTTCTTCTGCCAATTTAAATTCATAGATTATACCACTTATATTGACCTCGTTTAGTCCGTTCTTAATTAATGTGAAGGTGGACTTGTTCACAATTGAATTCTCAACACTATTTGCGAGCTAGGGGCCATAGGTTGATTTGAGATAGATTCGTGTCATCTCGTAATTCGTTTATAAAAATGGTGCCTCCCTCTCCATCTCCCTGAAATGCTAGTGTTAGTCTGCTTTGTTGTTCGTTGAGTATCCCTGTTCAGCTCCCTGAAACGCGATCACGTAATTCGTTTTCTCAGAGGTCTAAATATGAATTTACACAATAGCAAGTCACAAATCATGCTCATAGAGCCTCTGCCGAACCTGAATAAAGAAAACATCTTCTCTGGTGACTCAACAAGAAAGGCAGATGGCAACTAGAACCATCGTGCACGTGCTTGCAAATGACTCGAAAGCCTTTACATTGGAGCAGCAGCAACGTCGAAGCAATTTCACGAAATACAAGAACGCTAAACGTGGTTCTAAACTCTTCACACACTGCGGAAAGACGAATCAAGCTATTGATACTTGCTTTGAAAAAACATGGCTATCAGTTATCCAAAAAAAAAAAACATGGCTATCCTCTCGGGTACAAGTTTAAGCCTGGGAATTCTAGTTCTGCTAACAATATTTCTCATGGTGCAGCTGGCCTTAATGATGATCATCGTGCTGAGAATTCAATCTAGAGTGCGTGTTTCATTCTATAAGCAGAAGTGTGATATATTACAACGTCTTCTGATAAATTTAACAATACATGAGATCTTAAATTTATCAAATACTATCAGTATACATCATTAGAAGTTGTGGGAAACCAAAAAAAAAAAAAAAAAAAATCTTAATTTTAATCCCATATTTAAACAAGTCGTGCAAAGCTCATTTCATGTGTATGGGTCAGGTCGGGTCAGGTTTTTGTGCCGACTCGACCCAACTTGATTTTTATAGGTCTTAAATTTTGACCTGACCCACTTTAATTTGATCCAAGTCAGGTCTGACTTGGTTTATATTTTTTTGAACTAGTTCAGAACCGGGTCAGAGTTGACCTGACTTTGTTTCTGAATTGGGTCTAACTTGGTTTTCGACTTCTGAAGTAGGTCAAATCTGACCTGACCCGTTTTTGACTTGGTTTCAAAACATGTTTTTAATTTGATTTTTTTATAGTTATTGATTTATTTTTTAAACTCATGTAATTTAATTATTTATTTGTTTTAAAATATATAAATTTTATAATAAATTTGATATTTCTTGAATAAAAAAAGGAATGTAATTTTAAGCCCTTGCACATGTGAAGCAAAATTAGTGAAAATTAATAAAAAGTAAAGGATGAGAGAACGGTCTTCCCATCTTAAGATGACAAATCACTAATTTTAACAATACTAAAAGAGATCATATTTTCGATGAAATTTCTGCGTTGCAAACGATGAAAATTTCGTCACAAAATTATTTTTTCGTCGGAATACTTTTTGTCGAAAAGCAACGAAATTTTTTCACTAATGAAAATTTTTACAAAAATAAATTTTCTATCGAAATTTAGTTTCCGTCAAAAGTTTTGACGCAAATGATTTCCTCCATCAAATGTTTTAAACGAAAAAAGAATTCCGTAAAAAAATTTGACAGAATGTTTTTCGTTCAAAATTTCGATGGAATGTGTTCTGACGAAAATTGTTTTGAGGGAAATGTTTCATTTGAAACTTTCGACGAAATTTAGATTCTCTAAAGAATTTTGACAGAATATTTTTTCCGTCAAAATTCTTTATCGAAATAATTTTTAACAAAAAATTTTACGAAAAATTTTGACATAAATGTGTTCCGTTAAAAATTGTGATGGAAATATTTTTTATAAAAAAAACTTGACGAAAATATTTAGTCGAAAATTTTCGATGGTAATGTGTTTCGCTAAAAATTTCGACGAAATTTTTTTTTTGTCAAAAAGTTTAACGAAAATATTTCCGTCGAAAACTTTCGCCGAAATTTGAATTCTGTAAAGGATTTTGATGAAATTTTTTTCCGTCAAAAAATTTCAATGGAAATGTGTTTCGGCGAAATTTTTGATGAATATGTTTTTTTGTGAAATAATTTGACGAAATTTAGATTCTGTAAAAAAAATTTCCGTCAAATTTTTTTACTAAAATATTTTTAGTCAAAAAATTTGATGAAAATATTTTTCGTCAAAAACTTTTACGAAAATTTTTGATGGAAATATTTTTTGTAAAAATTTTTGACGTAATTGTTTTACGTTAAAACTTTTTTTTTAACGTAATTGTGATTTTTTTTTCTTTTTTTTTAACCTATGGGTGTGGGTCAAGTTTTGGGTCAATGAGTCATTATTAAAACAAGTCAGGTCTAAAACTGACCCAAGTAAAAGTGGGTCAGTATTTAAACCCAGTTCAAAAATAAAAAATAGGTATTTATGGGTCAGTTCAAGGTCAGATCAAGAGCATGGCAAGTGAACCAGTTTTTTTGCACACCCCTAGGTATGATGGTATAAAAATATTTGATATAATGTCTTAGTCTCGGCTTATATAGCTTACCTTTGATCGAATTACAAAAATAAGTTAACAAATATATACATAAATTGACCTCAACACTAGGGGTGATAAACGAGTCAGGGGCCTTTTAGGGGCCATTGGCTCGGCTCGTGAAGGCCTGAGCTTACATGTCTAATATTGGTTGTATGAACCAATCTTGAACTTGTATAAAAGCTCGTTTAGTAAAAAGGCTTCAGGCTCCAATTCAAAAGCTCGGCCTTGGAGCCTCTCAGGCTGACCCAGTATAATAATTTTTTTATTTTTTTTTATATTTTTTATACTATTTGTAATAGCCTTCTCTCTCTTCTCAATCCATTTCACCTCTATTTTATTAGTTAAACAGACTTTTTGAATGATTTTGTTCTATATTATGCTTTTTGGATATACATTGAATTTATGAATATTTATGGAATTACTAGTGCTGTTGATTGTATGTTCTGTTTGGATAAATTTTTGTTGTCTTATTTTTTCTAACAGGCTAATAGACTAAATCAGGCTTTTATTTCTTGTAAATAGGGCAGGCCACAGGCCGATAATTATATTCATAACAGGTAACAGGCTTGGTACGGCCGACACATTTAAACACAAATTTAACCTTTTAAGACCAAAGCTCGACTCGGCTCGGCCCGTTAACACATCTACTCAACGGCGTTAACACCCCTATTCAACACCTTCGAACCGTGATAAAACAAATTACCATGATGCTACTATCAAGCGTTTTTTTTTTTTTTTTTTTTAAAGTTGTTAGCATTTTTTTAGAATAACAAAATTAAGTACTGAACAGAAAATTCGAATTCGATTGAATAGAAAATATTGGTAAAAGGTCGTAGGAACAAAGTTTGCCGTGGCAAGTTTGCGAATTAATAGCATACTGTTGAGCCACATTGCTACAGAATGGTCTTACAACCTCAGCATTTATGACCCATGTATTGGCTTGGGATTTGGCACGCACTCACTGTATTAACTGGTTTTCAAAATACATGCAACAGTGGCACGTTTGGGGAGCTATTAAACAAAACCATAAGAAGATGTGTGAATGGTGATTCATTCGGCAGGAACTACAGGGCATTTAGCAATAAGTCATCGGACAAAAGTAACACATCACCAAGCAAAGCATAGCCTGAGAAACACAATAATCAGTACTAACAGTGTCTTATTCCATTGTTGGGTGTGCAAGAGAGAACTTCAATTAAAGTGGAGTAGTTAAAAAGTTCAATCTTTCATCAATCTCACAATAACTTCGTTTACCTTTCTTCAGACAATAAAGTAGTTGACATATAAATAACCACTAGACAGAATAAGGACTAGCAAAAAATAGCAAAATTCCACTGTTAGATGTAGCAACAATATGACTGCCACATCGCCTTGGTCATTTTCCTGAAGGATATATTCCCCATCACCATTAATCACAGACGGAACCTGCAGTTTAAAGAGAGGGCCCAGAGAGGACAAGCCTGCCCAACAACCTCATTGACTACGCTCTTATAACTGCTATCATATTTGTTTGAGCACTGTGAGATGTAAATTCTCAAGCTGAGAACAGCTATAGCATTTAAGGTGGACCATCCAGAAAATTATAAACATTTAAGCATATGAGCTAGCTACAGATTCCCCATTCGGGGAGATCATCTTCTATGAGATGATAATAGAGTGAGAACTGAAACTACTGTTGTGTTTAGCTTAAAGAATTTTGAAGCCATCAAAGATGAAACATAGGTTAGCTATTACCTCCCTTGATATTTATTTAAGGACTGTAGTTATGTTGTATGGCTTCCATTTCTCATTTCCCCATTAGGCCCAGTGGCATGTTCCTAGAACCAAAAATATAAAACAACACAGAATTTCGAAGCCATTGATATTACAATATTAAAACTCTAAATCTATTTAATCAATGTACCCAAAATATAGACCTACTTTAGAGGGTAAAACATCAACTCCTCAAGAGCCTCTAAATCTCTGATCCCCCCTCACACACACACACAAAAATTATCTTTTTTCTTTTCTTTAGTCAACTTTGTTAAGCAAAGCATGGGTAAAAAACATGGAAGGAAGTTGGCTTATAGTAAAATAAAAGCTTTGAGATCCCCCTTCAGAATCAAATGATCTAACCCATGTAAAGACTTGAATTAAGCAACACTTCCATGATCTGAGGCATCTTCATAGTAATAAGGGGATAACTTTCCATCTTTCTTGACAGGTTTCGTTTGGTTCTTCTCTGTGCCCACCTCTTGTAACATCTTCACCACTCTTCTCATTGAAGGCCGGTTGATTGGAAGAGGACTAGTGCACAGGAGGCCAATGTTGAAGACCTTGCAAATTTCTTCTTTGAAACAAGAATCAAGCCTGGAGTCAAGTACATGATCCACGCCTTTCTGATCCAAGGTAGTGCACACCCACTTAACCAAGTCTTTCTCCCCAAATTCAGGGTCCACCGGACGTCTTCCAGTGACCAACTCAAGTATGACGACACCAAAACTGTATATGTCGCTCTTCTCATTCACTCTAAGCGTGTATGCATACTCTGCAGGAGAAAAGGATCATGTCAGTTTGGCAGCAGAAATACAAAGCATCGCAAAACTATTAATGGGAATTGTGATACAATTCTATGAGAATGGCTGTTAGATTTCAAAAGAAAATCAAAAGATGCTAAATAACCTGTACTTTAGACCCTGTAGTATTCATATTATACATACAACTATAAAGAAGAGCTATATAATGTCAACAAAAATAAATCACTAGTCTCAAAGCAACAAAAACACATTAACAGTATTGCCCATGCACGAAACTACCATTGTAATTTGTAGGGTCTAAGGAGTATAAGATGCACATACATCTGACAGACAGTAGCAGACCAAGAATCAAATTACTCTAATAACCCACTTAACCATACACTGAATGTATCTCAGATTCATCAAAACAAGATTGAACATGAGGGGGAAAATGAAACTAAATAAGGTAAAATTTATGCTAACCTGGTGCTATATACCCACAAGATCCAGCTATGATGGACATGGATTTAGTTCCTTTCCCTGTAGTTTCGACTACCTTAGCTACCCCAAAATCTGCCACCCTTGCACCGAAGTCCCCATCCAACAAGATATTGTTAGATTTCACATCTCTATGAACAATTGGGGGAACACAGTCATGATGCAGATAAGAGAGGCCTTCTGCAGCATCAATAGCTATCTTGTATCTGGTTGGCCAATCCAACAACCCTCCTTTACTGCTATGCAACAAATCACCAAGACTACCATTGGGCATATACTCATAAACCAAGAGCTGGCAATCCCTGGTTGTGCAGCAACACCATAGCTTGACAATGTTCTTGTGCCGAATTTTGCCCAACGTTCCAACCTCTGCATCAAAAGCATTGTCCTGAACTCTACCCTTTTCGACATCTCCACTCTCTATTTCCTTCCTGACCCCTCCCCATATCTTCTTAACAGCTACAGCCTCCCCACTGCTAAGTACAACCTTGTAGACTTTCCCCGACGATCCACTTCCAATCACATTATCTTCATCAAGGCAATTCAAAATCTCATCTTCACCAAAACCCAGTTTATGAAACGACATCAAAGTCCACTTTGATTTATCAATAGCCCTTTTTGCATCCTTGAAATTCTTATACTTGAAATAGAACCCAACAACACCGCCGAGGAACACCAAAGTGGCAACAATGAAAATTGCTCGAAACAACCAAACATAACCCGCACTCTTTTCTTCGCCCCTGCCATCACACAGGCCTTTCAAATCCCCACACAAACCAGGATTACCCAGAAAACTAGACTTGTACACATCCTTAGCCAACAGAGGGGGAAGTTCCCCAGAAAGACGATTATAAGACAAATTGAGCTGATTTAGCTTCAGATTCTGCAACCCCCGAGGGACTTTCCCTGTAAATTGGTTTCTCGAAAGATCAAGAAAATTAAGGACAGACAAACTCCCAATCTCATCAGGAATCTTCCCACCAATCTCATTGTTAGCCAAATTCAAATCATTAAGCTTCTTTAAAGAACGAATACCCTTTGGGAGCTCACCAGAGAGCCTGTTGTTGTGAAAATCAAGAATCCCAAGCTGCCCAAGATTCACAATACTATCAGGCAGTGAACCACTGAACATGTTATCACTACCAGAAAATTCCACAAGATTTTCCAACCAACCAACCTCATCGGGAATCGTTCCCGTGAAGTTGTTCTTCGACAAAATCAACAATGACAGGTTCCCTGCCCCAGCAATGGTCTTCGCAATGGAACCCGAAAAAGAGTTTTCAGCGAGTTCAAGCAGATACACGTGGGGCAAGCCCCAGATCCCCGCCGGAACCTCGCCGGTCAACCGGTTGTAACCGAGACGGACACGCGTCAAGCTCTGGCACGTGCCAAGACTCGCCGGAATGTCACCGTCGAACAAGTTGTATATCATCAGAATCTCCTCCATCACCCCAAGATCACACAGCGTCGCCGGAATGCGTCCCCAGAACTGGTTGCTCGAAACATCAAGCCACCTCAAAGGGGAATGCTTCCCGAGATTCGCCGGCAACTTTCCGGTGAGCCGGTTCCCGAACAACCTCAACTCATAGAGATTCGGCGAGTTGGCTATACTCGCCGGCAACTCACCCTCGAAGCGATTCTCATAGAGGTTGAGGCTCTCGAGTGGCAACGAGCACAGCTCCTCCGGAATCTTCCCCGTCAAGTGGTTCATCGAAGCGTCGAGAAGCCTCAACGCAGTGAGGTTCCCCATTCCCCGAGGCAACTCGCCGGACAAGGAGTTATTATACAACTCAATCTGCTCCAAACTGGTCAACTCAGTGAGCGAACTCGGGATTGAACCGTAGAGGTCGTTGAGCGCGAGGTCCAAGTCCTTGAGCTTCTTGAGGTTCCCGAGAGAGTCAGGGATCACGCCAACGAGGTTGCACTGAGTGAGCCAAAGCACCTCCAGGTTCGTGAGGTTCCCGAGCTCCGGCGGGATCCGACCAGGGAAGAACGGGTTGTAAGAAAGGTTGAGCATTTTCAAAGTGGTGACATTTCCCAGATAAGCAGGAACGGTGCCTTCTAGAAGGTTCGAGACAAGGGACATAACCTCAAGTTTCTTGAAGGTTCCGAATGATTCGGGAATAGGGCCGGAAAAGTTGTTGCCGGTGAGGTCGAGGTATTTGAGGTTTGGGAGGAGGGGCAAGGTGTTGGGGAGGGGACCGGTGAGGAGGTTCTGGGAGAGGTCGAGGTGGACGAGGTTGTTGCAGAGGGTGATGTGGTCGGAGAGGGTTTGGTTGATGGAGTTGTTGAAGAGTATGATGGAGGTTAGGTTTGGGAGGCGGCAGAGGATGGATGGCGGGAACGGCCCTGCAATGTTGGTTTCGGAGAGGTCGAGGTTGGTGACGGAGGTGTTGGTTGGGTCGCAGGTTACCCCAAACCAGTTGCAAGGGGTGGTGTCCCTTGAGTTCCACGATGAGAGTCTAGAGTCAGGGTCATCCAGGGTTAGCTTGAATTGGTAGAGGTATAACCCTTCTTGGTTCAGACACATAACGCTCAGTGGTGACATTGAAAACAGAATGCAGAGAAAAAGGAAGAGACGTAGCATTCTCATTGTGACTGAATGAGTGAGTGAGGTGAAGAGCGTGCTGAATTTATTTCAAGGAGAAACTAACAGAGAGAGAGAGAGAGAGAGAGTATTTGAGTGCTGTTTGGCACGCATAGTTTTAGTACTGAGTAGTAGTGATTTGAGTTGGCATTGTGTCTATTTTTGTTTCGTTCTTCGGTGAAATTATAATGTAGCCAGATTTGATGGTTGACGACAATGTCTTTTTCTTTCGTTGTTAGGAGAAGATAGTGTTTTATCCGGATACTCGTGTTAATTAACGTAACTATATCATAAAATTATAAAAATACAAGTGTGAATCAAGAATCATAAAAAAAAAAAGAAGAAAAAAAGTTATAAAATTATCATTTTTAATTTGATTATTAATGAATAAAATCATTTCATATGATAACATGTTTATGTTAAATAACACATGAGATGGTTTATTTCCATTTCTATCCACTCTAACTTTATTGGCAATGGATCCTCTCACATAAAATATTTATTTATATCTTTCTTTTCACATTCATTAAATAGATAAGATCCAATTATTATTAATAAAAAAGAGATAAATATAAAAATTTCACATTATGAGATCATGTGAGATTTTAACATAAAAGGATCCCCTCCCAATTTTATTATTTACTTTATTTTAAATTCTTTATCATTTTTAAAATTTATGAATGTGTTAATCGTTTTTTAATTTTATATTTAACTATTTATTTTTATTAATAAAAAAGTTAATAAATAAATAGATAACTTAATCACACGCTGTATCTATCAGTTTCTTTAAAATTAAAAATAATCAATAAATTTTTATATAAAAATGAAAAATATATTAATTGAAATAGAGTATATTATTTTTATCATCAAACAATTATATGAAACAGCTACGTGAATGCTAGTTACATAACTGCAAAATTTTGGGTGACAATTTTTAAAAATAAAATTAGTAATGTTACAAAAGATGACTAAAACTCTTAGGAAGGAAAAAGCTTAATACGTTATGTATCAAAAAAAAAATCTTAATACGTGCCCATAAGGCTACACGAGAGGTTTACAAAAAAAAATGTAGTGATTAATTAACAACAACAAATTGCTTTCATGGAGTGGCATGAATAGTAATTGAGGTGAGGTGACCAATAAGGGGAAAACAAGTCTTGGTGAAATATTAGTAACAAACAATGGAAGGTGGTTTTGGACTGGTCAGAAAAAGACACACTATTGGTGTTAGTGTTAGTTACAACATACATATTGTGATGATACTAGAGACTAAAATTTCCTCCGTTGATACTCACGTCATTGTTTCAAGAGGCATGATACTTTGACACCGGTGTCAAATTTAAAATTTGACATTTTATCTGATAGCCGTTAGATCAAAAAAGATCAACGACTCTGATTTATAAGCATGTGATACCATTGATCTTTTTCGATCTAATGACTCTCAGATGAGGTGTCAAATTTTAAATTTAACACCGGTGTCAAAGGATTCTGCCTCTTGTTTTAATAAGCTATTTAGGTATCAACTTTTCTTGTGGAGTTAATATACATGAATCGGAAGGCAAATTCATAAATTCGTAATGCCTTTCTATGTATCATGTATGTTAAACTATATATGATATACTTACTAAGTTATTTGAGTGTGAGAACTGTATTCGTACCTTTCCTCCGTTGAGAATCACATCATTGTTTCAATAAGCTATTTAGGTATCAACTTTTCGTGTGGAGTTAATATACATGATTCGGAAGGCAAATTCATAAATTAGTAATGTCTTTCTATGTATCATGTATGTTAAACTATGATATACTTACTAAGTTATTTGAGTGTGAAAACTGTATTCGTACCTTCCTATTGAATTAATAGGTTGTTTGTTAACTAGTTTATAGATATTCAACGTCCGTTAATATATCACACAAGAAGCACATAAAGTTTCATAAATAGCAAGAAAGCAATAAAATGCTTCTATTTCCTATAAAGAACTAGTGGTACTCATAAATAAAGCAAGCAAACTGATTATAGAGATATTCTTTTTGCGCCAAAATGAACTCATTGATGTTACAGTCATAACTATATATAGACCTATAGAAAATTGCTAGCAAGCCGTGCAATATTTTCACAATTCTAATAGTAAAGTTTTTAAACTCATATTCAATGCTACTCTATTAATCCATGATATGACAAGTTGGGTAGCCTAGACATTTCTTGAACTTGTTACACATGTATCGTAGGGTCTTAATGCAACTTCTTAGATGCAATAATTATTAATTCATCTCAAATATTATTATCATTGATGACATTAATTTCCCAAAAGAATAATTTTACTTTTTAAAAAAAATATAAGTGGAAAAGAAATGTGACTTTGACTAATATTTTGAAAGAGATGAAGAAAAGAAGGAGGACATGGTAACCGTCTCGGGAGTAGAATATTTAGTGTGGAAACGGCAACAGTGTGTCACGTCGAGTTTGCTTGTAACACAGAGAATCCGAGTTGTTTCAAATGTAAAGTGTGAGAGAGTCACGCGTGACTGTTGATCTCTGACGTTTATATTTCAGACTCTACAGACTTTCAACTTTCAACAAAACAGCAATTGGTCAATTTCTGCAAACGACACCATTTTCTATATATTTAGTATGAGATTAAAGTTTTATTTTTTATGTAAACATAAAAGTTTGTCACGTGAAAAAAAAAATTAATATATAAAAAATAAAATTAATATGAAAAATATTAATACGTAACAATAAGTATGTTTATAGTACTGAAATTGATACCACATAGTACATGCATAGCCCCATTGATTTTAAACAACAAACTATTAAAAAAAAAAATACAAAACAAAGTGTGCTGTAAAATTTCGAATGCGTATGTAGTATTTAGTTTGTTTTTTAATTTTTATTTTAAATTAATATATTTGAGTTATCCAACAAGTAACGAGTAATTTTTTATTTTTGAAAAAAAAAAATTCTTTGAATTCCGATTGAAGTAAATTTGCACAATTTAATTCGTCCCCGAAAATCTTGTATTCATCTAGGGATCGATGTATGCATAATAAGTCCAATGGCTCAAATATGAATAATCCTCCTCCTCCTACAATTGTCTTTTTATTAAAGAATCTTAGTCAAATTTGTCTGAGGATCTTTGTAATGGTTGCAACATTCCTTTCGGTTGATTTTGCATTCTCGTCTTTTGTGGTTGAATAGAAATAATCAAATCTTTACAACTAGAGAAACAATGACGCCAATCAGTCTACTGTTTCCAAATTTGTAGACTTAAGTTTGTGATAGGAGCTAAGTAATTGTGCTGTAGAGAAAGATTCATAAAGAGATGGATTGAGAGCATTTTTATCAAAAGTATATCTGGAGTGTCATCCCTAGACTAATATATGTGCAAATATTACCCCTAACGAGGCACATAAGGGTGTGAAATGTAGTGTCATGGATCAAAGTAACTCCCAAAAAAAGTTGTAATTGTTGTTTACAGTAGCAATTTTTCGCATAAAAAATGCTACTCTGTTTTTTGTGGCATTTTGTCCGATAATTTATCACATCTCTTATCAACATAAAAATTACATTTTTTTTTATCACAACGTTAGCACATTAGATCTAGCTTGTTAAAAGTTGTACTATGTAGATCTTCTCCTGTATTTAAGATATGAATTTTTGGGCTATCAATTCATTCACATCAAGAACTTGATACTTTTTGGCAATTGTCTATTAAAATTAATTTCAATTCACTGTAAGTATAAAAATATTTTACACTGCTATTCATTTACATATCATCATATTATAAGAAGAGTTTAACATTTGAAATATTAATTATCATAATTATTATTTTTTAATGATAATTATATAACCATGACAACTGTTCTTGTTTAAAATTTGAACAGGTGAAATGATGTCATACAGGTAAGGGTGTAAACGGGTCAGGCTAGCATCGTCTGGCCTACAGCCCGGTCTATGTTGAGTCTGGCCTAGCCTGACCTTTCTGAAAAGTATAGTAGTCTTAGGCTTACAAGAAAGCCTTTTTAACAGATAGGTCATAGGTCAACTTTGTTAAGCCTGACATAAAGCCTTGTAGGCTGGTCTATTTAATTTTTTTTTAAAAAAATAATATATTTATTCTAGGTGGCAAACTATCAACCCTAATTTCTTTTGTGCACCGCCGCTTCTAAGTGACTTCTCACTCTTGTCTCTAAGTTTCGTCTTTGGTTGACCCAGTAATTGTATTTCTTTCTTATTTTCCTCATTTCTTTGACTCTAATTCCCGTCTGATATACATTATAGAGCTAGGGTATTATGTTGACTCTTTCTTGTTTGTCATTTTTTATTTTTTTTTATTTTTGAATTATAAAGGAAAATAAAGCAAACTACAACAGAGAGGGGCAAATTCTCCGCTGAGACACGCCCCTCAAATCACTATCAAACAAAGCAACACACTCCACAGGAGGGTGGTCGAGAACATGCATGTTCCAATCTCCAAAAGTGTACCCAAACCTAGCAACCTCATCCGCCAGCCTATTTCCTTCCCTGTAAGAGTGACTCATTACCAGTGTCCAAGATCTCTCTATCATCTCCCTAATCTTATTGACTAGAGGAGCTAAAGGGTGGTGAGTTTGACAGTGCCTAGACACCATTTGGATCACCATTTGGGAATCCCCTTCAACCCACAACTTCAGAATGCCCATCCCCCAAGCAACCTCCAATCCATGTAGTAGTCCCCACATCTCCGCCCTGGTAGATGTGCCAGCACCAACGTTCCTGCAGAAGCCCTTCAACCAACTCCCAGACGCGTCCCTTATTGCACCACCGCAACTAGATTTCCTTCCATTATGAATACAAGAACCATAAAAATTAAGCTTGCACCACCCTTCCTCCAGAAACTTCCAACAGATGAGTCTTTCCTCCTTGGTTCTCGCGATCAGTGCGTGTCTACCAAGTTTTTTCTGGGTTATCTCTGTTTGAGACACAAAAACTTTGGCCTTTCTTATGATAGCATCTTGAGGTGCAGTCTTCTTGTCGAAGACGAGGCTGTTCCTATCTCTCCAAATCATCCAGCAAATCACACCAAATAACTCCCTCCAGTCATAATTGTGTACCCTGAAATTGCGCTCCAAGTTC